CCCTCACAGGAGACTGTCTGTTCGGCCCGGGGTTGGAGGAATTATTAGACCGGACAGCTGATAGGAAAAAAGTCCTTCCCCCTCAAGAGGAAAATGCAGGAGGGGGGGGACACGGAAGGCCCGCCCGGCAAAGAGGCTGAGCCTGCGACCGCCTGGTCAGGGTAGGTCGGCTGGACAGAGAGGTAGGGGAAGAGGGGGAGCAATTTTTCGCCCTCCTGAGCAGCCCCAAAAACCAAGGTGACTTGGTTCCTCCTGTGGGGGGAAGATTGGCGGCATTCCTCCCACAGTGGGAAGCCGTGGTCACCAGCCCCTTCATTTTGGATGTCATCCGAAGGGGTTACCGGTTAGAATTTCTGAGACCGCCACCCGAGACTTTTCTGGTGACGACCCGTCCAAGGGATCCGACGAAGGACGCGGCTCTGGTGGGCGCTTTGGAGATTCTGGAGTCCCAGGGGGTCATCTTCAGGGTTCCGGTAGCGGAGCGAGGGAAGGGAGTTTTATTCCCATGTGTTTGTGGTTCAAAAGCCGTCTGGGGCGTTCAGACTGATTTTGAACCTGAAACCCTTGAACAAGTCAGTGCGTTACCGGAGGTTCCGCATGGATTCCATTTTTACGGTCAGGTCCCTAATCCCACCAGGTGCATTCATGGCATCCATAGACTTGAAGGACGCCTACCTACACGTGCCCGTGGCGGAAGCCTCTCAGAGGTTCCTCAGGTTGGCAGTGGGGGGGGAGGAAGGAATTCGACACTGGCAGTTCAGGGCTCTTCCATTCGGCCTTTCCTCCTCGCCAAGAGTATTCACCAAGGTTCTGTCGGAGGCACTGATTTCTATCCGCTTGAGGGGGATTTCAGTGGTGGCCTATCTGGACGATTTGCTGCTCTTCGCGGATTCAGAGGCTCACTTACGGCAAGACCTGGTTATAGTGAGGAACCATCTGGAAAGCTTGGGGTGGATTTTGAATCTGGAGAAGTCCTGCCTGGTGCCTTCTCAGAAGGTGATTTACTTTGGCTACACTCTAGACTCGGTAGACCAAAAGACCAGCCTGACTTTGGAAAAAGTCACCAAGTTGGAGGCCGGAGTCAGATTACTGCAGGGGGGCAGGTCGATGTCCATAAGACAGGCCATGTCGGTACTTGGATTGCTGACAGCGTCCATTCCGGCGGTTCAGTGGGCAGGTCTGCATATGCGTCCCCTCCAGTTGTGGATCCTGAGGGTTTGGGACAGGAAGTGTCACTCCCTAGAACGCAGGGTCTTGGTGCCCCCCAGTGTGAAAAGGTCTCTATGGTGGTGGAGGAGATCGTCCAGCATAACTCAGGGACTGTTGTGGTGCTTTCCGATTTCCGCGGAGGTCACTACGGATGCCAACGCCAGGGGCTGGGGAGCCCACCTGGGAAATTTGGTGACTCAGGGGGAATGGTCCTTAGGGCAGAAGGACAAATCCTCGAATTGGAAGGAATTGAGGGCAGTGTGGGAGGCTCTGCACTCCTTCCAGGCGGGGGTCACAGGCCAGCACGTGCGTGTCCTGACGGACAATGCCACGGCAGTGGCTTATATAAACAGGCAGGGAGGGACGCGGAGCAAGGCCCTCGGGGCCTTAGCGGCGACACTGTTGTCCTGGGCAGAGCTGAATTTGGCGTCCCTGTCTGCGATACACTTAAAGGGGGAGCTGAACCAGAAGGCAGACTTCCTGAGCAGGACTCGGCTCAGGGAGTCTGAATGGGCCTTGAACCCCGATGTCTTTCAGGAGATTGTGCGAAGGTGGGGATCCCCGGATGTGGACCTTTTTGCCTCAGGAAGGAACAACAAGGTCCCAAATTTCTTCTCTCTATCCCGCTGGGACGGGTCCAGAGCGGTGGACGCATTAGGTCAGAGGTGGGACTACCGGCTTTGTTACGCCTTTCCCCTGGTTCCTTTGCTCCCCCCCTGGTCCTGAGGAAATTCAGGACAGAGGGGACCTCGTTAATCCTGATAGCTCCCTTCTGGCCGCGGCGGGCGTGGTTTGCGACCCTGAAGAGTTTGGCCTCTCGTCCACCCTGGGAGCTGCCACCAAGAGTGGATTTGTTAACACAGGGGCCGGTTCTTTGCCCCAGCGTAGGAAGATTGCGGTTAACGGCCTGGTTTCTGAGCAGCAGCTCCTCTTAGAGAAGGGGTTCTCGCCTAGGGTGGTGGCGACATTACTGGCCAGTAGGAAGGAGGAGACCCAGGCCATTTATGGTAGGGTCTGGGGTTGCTTTACAGCCTGGTGTGACCGGACAGCTGTGGCAACCCATAGTTTGGTTTCTGTGTTGGAATTCCTGCAGGCGGGAGCGGACAAGGGATTGTCTGTCAGCACGCTCAAGGGCCAGGTCTCGGCCCCTCAGTGTGTTCTTGGAGACGCCCCTGGCCAGGGAGGCGTTGGTGAGTAGGTTTTTCAAAGCTCTGGTGAGGCAGAGGCCTCCGAGGTCCAGACCATTTCCGGTGTGGGATTTGGCCAAGGTGCTCGGGGGGATGACTAGGGCTCCGTTCGAGCCCTTGGAGTCCTGTCCGATAGGGGAGCTCACCATTAAGACGGCTTTTTCTGGTGGCGATTACCACGGCGAGGAGGGTGTGTGAGATGGAGGCCCTCTCGATCAGAACACCCTATCTCCGTATTTTTTCAGACAGGATCGTTTTCAGACCAGACCCGTCCTTCATTCCGAAGGTAGCTCGGAGTTTCCAGAGGGAACAGGACATTGTCCTTCCCATTTTTCCTGACCCGGGGGGGTAGATCAGGAGAGGTATCATTGTTTAGATGTCAGAAGGTGCGTTCTCCAGTATCTAGAGAAATCTAGGGAGTTCAGAAGCACCGAATCCCTTTTTGTGTTTTTTTTAAGGGGGCTAGAAGAGGCAAGAAGGCGTCTAGAAGGACGCTGGCCAGCTGGCTGCGGCTGGCGATTACAGGAGCATATCAGGCAGAAGGCCTGGAGGTCCCGGAGGGTATCAAGGCACATTCCACCCGAGCTGTGGCGGCTACCCAGGCAGAGTTAGCAGGGGTTTCCCCAGGGCAGATTTGCAGAGCGGCAACATGGTCCAGCTATGACACATTTGCCAAGCATTACAGACTGGACCTGGTCTCGGTGCAGGAGCAGGACTTTGGTCGTAAGGTCTTACAAGCAGTTAGCCCGCCCGAAGGGTGAGTACTCGCTTATCCTCTCAGAGTGCTGGCCTGAAAGACGGTAGGGGAAAAACCAAGTTACACTTACGGTAACGTCTTTTCCAGGAGTCTTTCAGGCCAGCACCGGTTTCCCACCCACTGTTGATATTGGTTATGTGAAGATGGCTTATTATGATTATGTTGTCTCGCATTGTGTCTCCCCAGATGACCGGAGGATGCTTGGAGAACTGAGGTCAGAGGGGAGTGGAGCTTTTTTATTGTAGGTGGAGGTGTTTCCTCAGATGGGGAGGAGCCGAGGTCTCTCAGAGTGCTGGCCTGAAGACTCCTGGAAAAGACGTTACCGTAAGTGTAACTTGTTTTTTTTTTTTTTTTTTTTTGCCTCAGTTGCCCAGTGGAAATGTACATATACTTTTCACTAGATGAATTGCTATGCAAGTTTTTATAGCTTAGGAGAAATTGGAGTGATGGAGAGATGAGCTCATCACTGCGCTGCTTCTCCTTTACGTAAAAGATACTTTATTTTTTCATTCGCAATTTAAATAAAAAATATTTGTGAGTGGATTTCTGTTTTAAAACAATTAAAAAAAAAAAAGTTTCTTTTTATAGTCAGTAAAATTTTCACTGTAGTCCTAATTTGATTGCCATATGGTTACCAGTAATGAGCGCTTAGAGAGGATTGTTCGGCACCAGAGCTGTTTTCGTATTACCTGCAGGCAACATACGTTTGTATAATAAGAAGCACAGTATTCTCCAGGGGTGTTTAAGCATCTGTTAAATTGGAAGTCAAGTCTTTTGTGTTGGTTTATCTTTTATTGTAAACCAGGCTCATCAGTGGGCCTCAGGTGACTAACAAAAGTGGGGCTCAAGAATGTAACATGCTAGCCATAGTTACAAAGTCAGTCTGGCTGAAAAAAGACAGAAGTCCATCCAGTTTAACCATAAATATAAAAAGCTATCTCCGCTTCAGTCGATCCTGAATACGGCTGCCAGACTCATTCACCTTTCCAACCGCTCCGTTTCCGCCACCCCCCTCTGCCAATCACTCCACTGGCTTCCGATTGCGCAACGGATCAAATTCAAAATCCTAACACTGACGTACAAAGCCATCCACCATACTGCCCCGAACTACATCAATTGACCTAATATCCAAGTACCGCCCAGCACACACACTCCGCTCCTCACAAGACCTCCTTCTCTCTAGTTCCCTGGTCTCCTCCTCCCATGCCCGCATCCAGGACTTCTCCAGGGTGTCACCCATCCTCTGGAACTCCCTGCCCCAACCCATCAGATTATCACCTACTCTCCTCTCCTTTAGGCGCACCCTGAAAACCCATCTCTTCAGGGAAGCCTACCCCACCCCCTGCTAACTTGCCGACCTCCTCCACTCTTCCTACCACTCCATCCCCCACAGCTATCTCCTCCTGTGCCACTATCCCCTCTCTCCTAGATTGTAAGCTCGAAAGAGCAGGGCCCTCGATCCCCTCATGTTTTGCATTGTATTGGTATTGTTCTGTCACATGTTCTGTTCCCCTTTGTAATGTACAGCGCTGAGCGAACTATTGGCGCTTTATAAATACTGTATAATAATCGTATACCCACAGTTGATCCAACCATTAATTTTCTTTTTTCTGTGCACTGTTTAGTACGATTCCATATGTGCTTTATTCTGCTGCCTAGGTAAAGTTCATTTTCTCATCGGGATCAGGTAAACCTCCAGCTGATTTTAGCAGATTTGTGCTACTGTCCTTATATTTATGTAATGTACAATCTGCTTTGCATACTCTAATGTCTCTAATTAGCTTGCATCTGTTTGGAAAATTTTGTTTTTATCAATTTATTTTTTTTTTTTGTTTACTTTTCTTTAGGGAGACATTTCCCAAAGCGCTCTAGGCATATGCTTGTGGTTGAAGCCAAGTTCGATGGTGAGCAGCTTTCTACAGACCCGGTACCTCATTTAGAGCAGCCACAGTTTGCTACCGAATTAGCATGGGAACTTGACAGGAAAGCTCTTCACCAACACAGGTAATATCACTTTTGTTTACTGGAAGATGTTGATTCAACTAATAAAGTTGCGCCTGTTCTCACAGGGGTTGGGGATTATACACTGACACACACAGTGCATTGTATAGGAGGCTGATGAGATCCATGATTTTGCTAACGTTTTGAATATCCCTGAAAACGGATTTATTTTTCCTTATTATAGTTACTGCACATCTTCATTGCATTCATGAAGAGAAATATGCAGATAGTTTATTATTGGAGGAGTCTCCCCTCCTCCATATGCTCTTGCTGTAATTTGTCAGATTCATTGACCACAGTAGGGTTACCTCCTAAAATACTGTAGGTAGGTAATGCTTGTAAGGAGACAAGTTTGCTAGAAAAAATGAAAGCAAACCTGTCAACATGGATCATCTAACTTTGCCTAAAAGTCAATATTCATTCCCACTTTCTGTCATTCATTTGACAAATGCCAGAACTTCAGTGTGCTGTAAAGCCTCGGGCATTTTTCAGTGGAACAACAATCGGTGCAGAATTTTGGGTCCCATGTTCAACTGTGGTTTCGGATCGAAGGGGATCCACAGGGACCAGGCCTTTCTTTAAAACAGATTTTTATTCTCACTAAAATAATATATAACATTGCTATACAAGTTATTTTGTATTTTATGGCTTTTAAAGAAACAGGCTTCCCTTTTTAATTTTGTGGTCAGCTATATTTCCTAAATCTGTCAAAAAATTAAATACTATTTCTTGCCATGGCAAAACTGTTTGTTTTAGGTCAGGGTTGTCAAACTCAATTTTATTGTGGGCTGCATTGGCATTATGGTTGCCCTCAAAGGGACGGTTGTATCTGTAAATGTGAATTCACGCTGTATGCGGTGACAGACATTTTTTGCCTCATCATAAAACGCCTGTCACCGAAGGGACGCACAGGAAGCAGTTGTTTCCTATGTCGTCCATTCACACTGCAACACAGCCTAGGACTGTACTGCACCATGCTGCAATAAAACGCAGACGTTTTTAATTTTATCGCAGCGCACCATGCCAGATTGCTCAGCAATGTACAGCAACACAGTGAACCGTACTTCTGTACATTGCCGTGATTGTGTATTGTTTTGCACTTCAAATAAAGTTAGTAGAAAACAAAAAAAAAATAAAGCAAAAGATGGGAGCCTTGTGATTTTATTCCCTTTCTTTATTTCAAGTATTTATATAGCACTGTCAATTTATGCAGTACTTTACACATATATTTATTACATTCACATCAATTCCTAACTCTCAGCGGGCAAGGGGCGTACAATCTGAGGTGCCCAATTTACACAAATGCCAAATTAGACAGGAACCAATTAACCCACCAGCATGTCTGAGCGTGGGAGGGAAACTGGAGTACCCAGAGGAAACCCCCGCAGGCATAGGGAGAACATGCGAACTCCAGGCAGATGGTTCCGTGGTTGTGATATAGACCTACAACCCTAGTACTGCCTGGCAGAAGTGCTAACCATTAGGCCACTGTGCTGTGATGCACTGAATCGCACACCACACTGCCCCCATCATAGCTAGCAACAGAGAGCTTTCACACTGCAGCAGCTCTCTGTTGCTGCGTGAATAAAGCTTAAGGGCTTATTCACACTTGACTCAAAAAGCAAGCTCTTAACAAGCGCACATATAGTGTTAATGTACACTACTAGGTGCCTTAGACTTACATTTTAACAAGCTTTAAAAATGCTTCCTCAAACATCCAAACAAACACGTGCTTTTGACATGAGTTAAAACCGCACCGCAAATGCCTATTAAAGGATACCTCCACTTTCATGGGGAAAACAATTGGCAAATAACATTAAGAAAAAAATATGGCGTATGCAATTGCTACTCAAGTCATATTGTAATTGAATATTATAAAAAATTACCTTTTCCTTTTCAATCTTCAGTTCTGTTTTTTTTTTTCTGTAAAATGCAATGCAATCTGGCTACCTGGAGGCATTCTGTACACAGATGGTGTACAGAACGCCCCCTCAAATAATAAGTAATTTCCTGCTTGAGTGACTGGCTAACTGATTCTCCCAGAAGTCTGTACTAAGATACAAGTCAGACTGTCCTGTGGTGTGTTACCTTTTTTTTTTTTTTTTTTTTTTTTTTTTTTTTTTTTTTTTTTTTTTTTAGTGGTGCACCGAAATAAAAATTCGGGTGCCGAAAACGAAAATTCAGGATGCACTTGGCCGAAAATGGTAAAAGAACCCGAAATGGGCAGCTTTTAAAATTTAATATATATTTTTTGGAAAAAAAAATACACTTTGATTAAAAAAAAAAAAAAAAAAACCATATATACCCCAATTTTTTTGTAAAATATGAAAGAGGATGTTACAGCGAGTAAATAGATATCCAATGTGTCATGCTTTAAAATTGTGCGTGCTTATGAAATGGCGTCAAACTATGGTACTTAAAAAATCTCCATGGGTAATGCTTTAACAATTTCTACAGGTTAGCAGTGTAAATTTACGGAGGAGGTCTAGTGCTAGAATTATTGCTCTTGCTCCGACGTTCGTGGTGATACCTTACAAGTGTGGTTTGAACACCGTTTACATATGTGGGCGTGGCCTACGTATTTGTTCACTACGAGCGAGCACGAGGGGCACGGGGGCACTTTAAACTTTTTTTTTTTTTTTTTTTAATTTTTTTTTTTTACATTGTCCCTTTTTAAAAGAAAAAAAAAATTTGCTTTTATTCATATCACAAGAAATGCATGCATCCCTTGTGATGGAAATATTTAGTGACAGGTCCTCTTTATGGAGAGAGATGGAATCCCCCACATCTCTCCTCTACAATGTAAAGCATTGATCTAGTGCTTCTAAAAGAAAAAATGGAGCCGGTACAGGAAGTGATATCGCTCTGGTCCTCCAAGGGCATAGAGATGAGTGGAGGCCATCTTTCCTTCACTCATCTCTATGCCCAGCGCCGGGATCGTTCGGTGATTTCTCAGGTAGGCTGAGAATTACCGAGCAGCATGCGGCGGTGACGGGGGACGCGTTTTTTTTTTTTTTTTTTTTTTTTTTTTTTTTTTTTTAATCTTGGGGTGAGATACTCCCAAAGAGAAATGTCATCCAAAGGGACCCTGCCAATCTCTTCATTAGAGTACTGCAGGTGCAGTAGCTGATTGATAATTTCAAGTGATGCGACGCTAACGCTTCATGTTTTGATTATGTGAACAGCACTATGTGCTGTCCATATTATCAGGGGCATAGGAGTTTGAGAAGTTTGCCTTTTTAATACCAGTGTGAATAGGGCCTTTAGACTATGAATGCAGAGTTCTGGAGTGCGCTACTTACAGAGTGTAGAGATGGGTGTGCTATGTAAAGACTGCTGGTTTCGGTTGTGCACGGCTTACAGACTGTGGGGTTCAGGTGTGCGCGGTGTAGAGAGTGCAGAGTACACAAGATGTTTTTGTGTGTTTACAAGTGACAGCAGAGGGTGAGGGCTGAAATAAAGCCCTGGGTGTAAGGGCCATGTGACATGGCCTGGCGAGCCGGATTTGATGTTTAACATACAGTATGTGGTTTAGGTTGATGTGTACCTTAGATTGTACACCCCTTGAGGGTTAGGGACTGATGTGAATGTACAATATATATGTGAAGTGCTGCGTAAATTGACGGCGCTATATAAGTACCTGATATAAATAAATATAAATGTGCAAGCATTTACCCTCCTTCTACCACTTACTGGAACGGCCTGACAGGCTGTTGGGAACAAGATGTCTCTCAGGGATTACTACTGTTGCCTGTGCATATAGTCAAATCTGTGGCTATCCTTGAAGCTTGCTATAATATTGTAGCTTTGTATGCCTGCACTATTATTACACTGCTCAAAAAAATTAAAGGAACACTTTCAAAACACAGCAGATCTCAATGGGGAAAAATATGCTGGATATCTATACTGAAATGGACTGGGTAACGTGTTAGGAACGTAAGCATGCCCCATTGTTTGATGGAAATGAAGATTATCAAATTTAAAGACACCCTGAAAATCAAAGTGAAAAAATTTATGCGGCAGGCTAATCTATTTTGCTGAAATTTATTGTAGCAACTCAAAAATGGTACTCAGCAGTGTGTATGGTCCCCATGTGTTTGTATGCATTCCTGACAACGTCAGGGTATGCTCCTAATGAGACAACAGATGGTGTCCTGGGGTATTTTCTCCAAGATCTGGACCAGGGCATCACTGAGCTCCTGGACAGTCTGAGGTGCAACCTGGTGGCGTTGGATGGACCGAAACATGATATCCCAGAGGGTTTTAGGTCAGGCGAGCGAGGGGACCACTCAATGGTATCAATTTCTTCATCCTCCAGGAACTGCCTGCATATTCTCGCCACATGAGGCTGGGCATTGTCGTGCACCAGGAGGAACCCAGGACCCACTGCACCAGTGTAGGGTCTGATAGTAGGTCCAAGGATTTCATCACAATACCTAATGGCAGTCGGGGTGCCATTGTCTAGCCCAGCAATGGGCAAACTACGGCCCGGCGGACCTTTTAATCCGGCCCGCGGAGAACGTGAGGGGAGCTAGGCTCCTCTCACAGTCCGCCCTGAAGACCGGTGTAGCATGAAAATCTGTCTCCTATGAGGATCTGTCCCCCTCGACGTATCTGCGCATGTGCCGGAGATCGCCTATCGGCTGCTAATGCCTGAAACTGGCACATGCGCAGATACGTCGAGGGGGACAGATCCTCATAGGAGACAGATTTTCATGCTACACCGGAACAGCGCGGGAATACGGCGAGAGGAACGCGCGGAGCAAAGGTAAGTGAATTGAAACAGGGGGGACTTGGGGACTTAATAGGGGGGATGAATTACTATAGGGGGGATGAATTACTATAGGGGGGATGAATTACTATAGGGGGGATGAATTACTATATGGGGGGATGAATTACTATATGGGGGGATGAATTACTATATGGGGGGATGAATTACTATATGGGGGGATGAATTACTATATGGGGGATGAATTTACTATAGGGGGGATGAATTACTATGG